CAGGAAGATATCAACGTCTGGTAGATTTGCTCCAAGATGGCAGTCTTGTCGCTGAGGCAAATGTCTGAGCAGGTACGGCCGGCAAGCTCTGCCGAGATCTTCTCGAAAGAATGTTTTGGAGCAGAAACAACGGAGGAAACAAGATGGCTCGGCTATGCGGAGCGGCTCAGACTCTCTCTAAGGTCACTGGGCCCCTTCTTTGATCCTCTGCGAAGCTGCGTGGTGCGAATCACCTGTCAGCAGCGGAAAGCGAGCCTAAGTTTGGGAAGAACTTTTATCCCCCCCGGTCCGGGTTCCCGGGCTTGAGCGCTGTTGGCTCAACGAAAAACGTTAACGTGAACACGAGAGAGTCTGCGCATGCCCTCGCTTTTCGACATCCCTGAGCATGAAACTCCAGATTTCCCTCTGCCTGCTCCAGTGGCCGAAGCCCCAGCTCCTTCCGTCTTCTAGCTGACATCATCTTGTCGTCTTCGAAAAAAAGCGCCAGTAATGATTCATCCGATGGTAGAGCTCGTACTCCCGGTGCAGTAGGCCCCGTTCTTCGTCAATGGGTTGGCCACTGTGAACCTACCTCGCGATCACCCCGGGGTTCATTTGGGCCTCCTTGATCGCCAGGAGTTCCAAGCTCGTCCGCTTCTCTGCCCCTTTGATCACCATGACATCCGTCTCCAACTTGTCGCACACATTTCTGCTGTCGGTCACTACACAGCCTTTGACTTTAGGCAGGGTGCTATCTGGATGATGAAGCCCGCTCATGCCATAGAGCATGTCGCTCCATTGATAATGCGCGGCATAAAGGTGGTCCTCCCCATTCACTGCCACCTGTGCCTCCGCCGATCCAGCGATCGATACGTTGGCTGTGCCAGGCAATCGGACTAACTGCCTGATCCTCTGCTAGCTCTCGGGTGCTCATTCCCAGGAAGATGCCCTGCATAGAGCCGCCGTCGATGCGGTTGCCATGTGCAACATCTACCCAGGTGACCAAAACGACCTCCTGCTTTTCCTCCTAGGCGTGGATCTTCATGCGGTAGCTCTGTTTGCTCTTGGCGAAGGCCAACAGCATTTTCATTTTCGGCAGCAGGTTATTGTCCACGCTGCTCCTCGTAACCTCAGTCAGGAGGAGTCCTACTTCGGTCGCAAGATACGGAGCGACCTGCCGCGCATGCCACGATATGCCTCCTAAGAGCTCTCGGAGTTGGCTTGTCTCACGTTCTGTTGTGGGCTGGCTTTTGTCCTTCCTACGGTTGCTGTTCACACTTATCTCGTGGAGGTTCTCGAGGTAGGACGTTTGTGATAATTCCAAACCCTCACCGGTTTGTTCAATCATCACTCCGCATTGGGTGAACCTGTCGGCCTCCCCATCACCCCACCTAAACTTCTCCTTGATGGCCTGAACCGTGCTCCTCGAACAGAAAGTCATCAACATGACCGCTCACCATCCCACGAAGCTCACCCCAAAGCTTCTCGAAGGACCCAGCAACAGGCGATAAACGAGAACCTTCGGAACCCAGGTGAGAGAGAAGGTCATCAACTGAGCGTTACCCTTGCAAAGGCGCATCAACAAGTCCACAGCAAGCCTTACGGACTCCGGTGATTGACCCTTCCGGGATGTTGAGAGCTCTGCAGATGTCAGGGCAGGGGATACAGTTAAGCTTGTCAGGGTACTGACGGCCTGCAGGAAAGCCCCCGTCACATTCCCTTTCTGGACTCACCACCGCTTCCAGGCTGCCATCTGCAACATGAGTTGTCTTGTCTGGCGGGTCATGACAGGAGATGCTGTCGCTCGATGTTCATAGCCGCCGTCCTGACATCCAGACAACACCGCCCTGGCCTTGGCCTTCTGCGACCCATCCTTTCTCAACTTCCATGTAAGGATCCATCGCGTGCCTATGGCCTGGGAATGGTCAGGGATAATCTTGAACGCCTGGGAGGCCGCGAAGTTCTTGACCTCGATGGCCTTCGCGCCGCCTGATCTTTTCATTGCATGTTTGCTTTTGCTGGACTGGAATTCACTCCTTTGCTGGACTATGCATGTGTGCATGAATTTGTTCTTTGCATGCTGGTGAGATTCGCGTTGTCTGTCTGTTGGATGCCATGACGCCTTGAACAACACGGTCTGGTCAGCCTCGGTGACTCTGGGCCTCTCTCTCCCCCTTGTCTCCCTCCTCTAAGGTTTCCTTAGCCACCTTTTTCCACTTAGTGGCTAACCTGTTGTTTGCCCTAACCACGATCTCCCTACCGTAGATCAAAACCACTATCTCGCAGTCGCCGACGCCATGGTTCCGACCGCAGAATGGGCGAGCTCCAAGAAAGTGTCTTCGGTAAGTGCTGCTCCAAGTGGATGTGGTGGAAAGCGGTCTTTCTTTCAACAAGCCCCGCTTACATCTTGACCTGGGCAACGACGACACGAGACGAGCTGTAACAGATGCTCTCGGGGCCCATAAGCCCACTGATACAGGCTGCTGACATGACGGCCGTCCGATGACCTGGGTCCAAAAACTTGACTTATGCTGCAACAGACCTACCACATTTGGCAGCTCCGTGCAATGGTGTTCTCAGAAAATCGTCCGCTGCCAGTTGACTAATACCATGTCTTCGTGGAGATGAAGTCATCCCGGAAATGAGCTGGCTGATGAGCAGAACCTACAGCGAAGCTTTGCCCATCAATGTTTTTTGGACTTGCGCCTGGTCATGGAACTGCACACGGTGCCCAAGCCCTCAGACGGCTACGCAAATGCATATGCTGCAAGCGCCCAGGCACTGAGGCGGTTACGTCCGTTATACTACAAGCCTTGTGACAGTGACTTTAACAACAAGCCTTTCTGCATGCCGGCCACTTACATGTTGACGACTCTGCATGCCCTCGAGATGTTCTGATTTTTCTGATGCTAGGTGCTCGGTCTACCCTAAACTAGGGTAGCTGTGATTGCCCCAACAGGAGCCTTTTACTTCAGCGTATTTGATGTTTCTCTTGCTTTGTTGTTTATCTTCAATATGTACTTTTAGTCGTCTGAATAAGTTGTTTCACTCAGTATTGTCATTATAGTTTGTCACCGTCCCTCCTGACTTGGTTTTCGCTTTGACTTTGTTCCTGGGCATTAACTGGTCAGCTGGGACAAGCCTTTTAACTGGAACTACACAGTTGGTCAATGTACCAGCCTTTTCAAAACAGTCACTGAGGGACTAGTGTGATTTGCCTTATGTTCCGTCGCATTCTTTTGTGGCGTAGCAGTGATTGTCAGCCTGACGTCTAGTTGTTTAGTCTAGTTGGACCCTCGTCTGGCGGAGTCCGAGTTGCGAGAGCGTAAACTGTGAACCCTCAACCGGTGGCAAACCCTAAGCGGAAGCCGCAAGCCTCGTGTGGTGGCAGGGGCCGGGGAGTCACAAGGAAATCGTTTTCGGGTCGCAAGTGAGGCGGTTTTTGGGGCCAGAAGTGAGTCGGGCCGCCCCTATGCAGATCGGCACAAGGCGTCAAGTTGTCCCTGCACAGTCGAAGATACAGAAAAGAGAGCGGATGAGGGGTAACATCATGCCCCATACATGTGCTGAGGAGCCTCAGACTTGATTCGAGACGTGGCGCTGGCAACCTCCCAGTTCTTGGCAGCATTAGGTAGCTCGCTTTCACACCCAGAACCATGACATGCCTTGGCCTCGGCATCATCTCAAGCTCAGGTTCTGGGGCGCAACAAAATCTGCACCGCTGAACTGGGATCTGGCACAGCGCAATGGTTGGCACAAAGTGCCTTCGCTCTGCGACCCTCGATGATGACTTACTGTGTTTGCTTGTTGAGCGGTTGCCCTACGGCCAGACTTTTATGGTCGCGCAATCTCAGGCCGGTCTCCCTCACTTCGCAGCAGGCTTTATGCGAAACTGGGGCCGGGACACCTTCATCGCACTGAAGGTGTGCGGGGTAAGAAAGAAGCAGGCAAGCTTGAACGATGCCGGTGAGAACTTGTATCTTGCAGCTGAATTGTGGCTGAGGAAAGCCAGCAACGCAACACCTGCATACCCCACGCATATGCAGATGCCCAGAGGATGCCAGAGACATGTTGCCGGCCCTGGTTCATTCCCCAACCCCAAGTTCTTGGAATTCGCCCGTCTCTTGTCCCACAGGGGTGCCTGCTGGTCACGGGGCACTTTCAGGAGGCCGGGTACTTTGATGCCTGCGCCAATCCGCCCTTGAGCATCCAGCAGGTGGCTGTTGATAGTATGTTCTGGCGGGCACTGTGGACCTCAGGCTCGGGACACTCTTCTGGTCTATGCAAGCGTCATTCGCCATGGCCTGTGTCCTAACCTCCTGGATGCGGCCAACCGCCCGCGCTACAATGCTCGAGACGCGACCTGGTTCTTTATGCAGGCCGGAAGCCGGAGAGACGGAGGATTCTTGTTGAGACGCAGCACGTGCAGTGACAGGCAATTCAGGATTACGTGGCGGAGTCACCGGAGGGCGAGAGCTTCCTTGCCGCCCCAGTCAGCTTAAAGTGGCCTGCGAAGGAAGGGGTCTACAGGCTTTATAGTAAACTTTATAGGGCCTTTAGACCATCTATGGCCTTGGCAAGGGACGACAGTTGTGAGTGTCTCTTCAGGCCTAGAGAGTGGTGGATCCGACCTAGCAGCAAATGCATTGATGGCAGAGCTCCGCAGGACTGGGATCCAGATCTTGCCCACATGGAGGTCGCTGAGCTTCATAAGGGCACATTCCCATTTATGGTAACGTGGGGTAAGGTGAAGACGATCGCCGACCTAATCCATTTGATCTTCTCAGCGCATGCGAAGGCTCGACGATACGGTAATTTTAAATGGGGATTTGCAGTGGTGGCAGATCTGCTTCAGATTCTTGCGGCGGTCTAGACCTTGGCAGTTCCAAGCCTTGATCGTGCTACGCACCTCCTGAAGTGCAGGGTAGGATCGCGAGTGCCACCTCATGTTCTTTCCTTCGTGCAGGGCATCAACTTCCGCGAGTGGGGTGCAGGACGAGGTCCCGATGCTGGAAAAGGCAGCATGGCCTGAACTAAGACTGTAGTGTACTATAGTCAATAGTGAGTGTGAAGATGCAAAGACAAAGCCTACAAGTGACTGGAGGAATCGATGATGACATGAGCGAGTGGGGCTTCGATGTCAGCGTAAGGCCGGAGCAATGGTCTCTGCAAACGACTTTCAAGAAAAAGACGGACAGAGAAGGTTCCAAGTTTCACATCCCGCACATGCTCGGCTTTGAGATTCCTTTTACGAGCGATCCGTGGTGATGTGAGGCTTGACGAGAAGACCGGCTTTATCTTCGGAGGGAGCGAGCACAACTGCGGCCCCTCGGCTGCGACCCTTTCCGTGGCCCCAGTAATTCATGAAAGAGCTCGGGTCGTGACTGTGAGAGTCTGTGACAGGCACGGACAAGTCTATACGTAAGTTCCTCGATGAATTTCTGCAGCACATTGAAGAAGCCAGGCGAGTTTAGGGACAGCCACCTACCATGCATCCAAGCTTGCCCTCAGAAGTCATCGCAAGATAAGTCGCAGAAGAAGCAGCCCCGATGGCGAAATGCTCGGCGCAATCCGACCCGAGGCACGTGGATGGATAAGATGGGCTCTTCGGCCAAGGCCACCAAGCACACACCATGTCGGAGTGAGCTGATCCGAATTTGCAGATCCCTCCGGAACCATGGTGACAGGCCGGCAACAAAGGGAAACCTGCCACACCTCGTGACGGAGCAGCGGTGGAGCCATGGCCAACATCGGGTGAGCTTGTTGATCATCGACAGCTAGCTGGCAGCTAGCACTCTCGAGGGAGTACTATGAGAATTAAGTGTGGAAAGGTTGTTGTTTCAAGGCCACAAAGGCCGCTGTGTGGCATGTCCTTTGGGAGTTCAATCGGGCCAAAACTGCTGTTGCTGATGACAAGCATGATGCGACACGTTTGCCCTCGCAAGTAGTTTAAGCTCGCAGCATGCGTTGCAGGAAATTGTTGGTCTCCTCAAATCAGCTCTTCGGTGGCTCTCTAGCTTGAGAGACTCGGCTGTGTTGTGGCAGACTGTCGGGTGGCCGTTGATTGTAATCTTTACCAAGCACTGCATGGCGCAGCACTTGCGGGAGATAAGACTGGCCGGGAGTCACTTGGCATCGTAGACATCCGGGTGCGCCGGTCGACAGCAATGTGCACGAACATGTCGAGTTGTTTGCTCAAAACCTTCGCATAATCAACCACACGTCAAAAGTCAATAGTGGGCCATACACGCAGACAGCATGAGTGGCATGTGCTACCCTTTCACACCTTGCATTACCTGTAGTCTCTCCCTCGCGCCAGCTTATAGCTAGCATCTGCCTGTGTTCACCCCCCAAGTACACAGTTTTGCCAGTTTTGCCTGCATCTCATCTGTTTTGGCTTCCCAAGTCCCACGTCCTTCCGATTTTGTCTATCAAACGATAACGAGAGCTGAGGCAGAGATGTCTTCCCCCATGAGCAGGTGAAGACTGCCTCCGGTCAGCCGCTGAAATACAAAGACTGGGATAGCAGGCTCTCAGAAAACTTCGAACGCCTGTCGCTCAGCCGCACCAGAGGGACATCTTTCCCTGCCCTTCTCTTTGTCATTGTTTTCTCTTGACGGCCTGTTGCTGTCACCATTGGCGTTGCGGTTTCTAGCTGACTGCAAATGTACTGGTAGGGATTGCCGTTCGCATACAGACCAGTGTGCAGAATGTCGTGTAACAGGTCTGTGTCAAACTGCCCTCTGGAAATGATCAGCTTAGCTGAGCTCGCATAGCGCCGGAAGCTTTGCAGTTCACAGCCGCACAGCACTTCGAGGTTCTGGATTAGCCCGGATGAGAAAACAAGCGCACCGGTGGCTGGTATCTACCGCGACACGGTCGGAGCCACGCGCAACCTCGCTGATTCGAGCATGACTCTGATCATAAGGCAAAGCCTTAAAGCTCAAACCAACTTCGGCCTGTCTTAGTGCGCGCCTCAGGCAAGTGGCAAGATTACCAGCTTCGACCGAACTTTTGCATCGCTATGACGGTGGCACCAGAGCTTTTCGTGCCTGAGCATGCCAACACTGCGCTGCAGGCCGGCCCCGAAAGTACCAAACCTTGGGGTGGTCGTCGCGGGCTTGCCGCGGCTTGCCTGTTTGCTTGCCTCGCCCGCATTCGCCCTCTGTCCCTCTTTTTCTTCACTCGCCCGTGCGCGACCTCTCCCTCTCTCTCTCTCTCTCGTGCTCTGTCTGGATCGCTCGCTCCGTAGCACGCCAAGGGCTACTGCGTCGGATTGATTTCGCTGTCAAGGCTCTAGCTAGGGATGCTTAAGCTGATCAGTGCAGGTTGTTGCGAGCCGACTGGTTGGGCCCCTTGGCATGTGCACGCTGGACCCTGCCGACAAGGATAAGATGCTGCCGTTTGCTGATGCTTTGGGGTTGTGGGTCGATCTATCCGGTTCGGGTTTCTGATGAGAAGAACTGCATTCTTATCCGCGCTGCGGGGATGGCGAAGGAGTACCATGGAGACTATCACAACGACAACGACTCGAGTGACCAGTCGATCGCCCATGGCTGGAATTACCATCAAGGTCCTGAGTGGGTGTGGCCACTAGGATTCTTCCTCGAGGCAGGAAGTCCATGGCTTCTTGATGTTTTTTGTTTTTAAGTTCTTTGGAGTTCGGAAGCTTGGGCTTGGGATGATGTATGGCCCTCCGGCTGGTTGCCAAGTGGAACGGCGAGGTGGGAGGCAAGATGAGATGTCCATGCTGTAATTATACTTGTTCCGCAGTGTCACCATCTGTGCTAACAGTGTTACCATTCAGGCTGCTGCCGCTGCTGTGGCTGCGCCACGGGTGTGTTCGTGATTTAGTGTTGTTTGAGTCCAGGTCTTCTGTGCAACACTTGCAACAGCGGCACAACGGCTATTTTCGTACATGCAGCGCAGGCTTCGATTGGACGATCGCAACTGGTGGTTGCAAGTTTCCGGCATGGTTGCCGCTGTTGCGATCACTGTTGTAACCCAGACCCATGCTTTGTTTGCCGTTCAGCCTTGCGGTCTTGACCCCCGTCCTTGCTGTTGTTTCTGCGCTGCGCAGTCGTCATGTGGTTGTCGTCGTTGGCAACCGTAAGGTCGCTTGTCTCACAATTCGTTTCCAGTGTCAATTGTTGTAAGTCGCAACGGGCAACGGGAGACTCCCACGGACGGTGCGAGTATACGGCTGTACAGCATACGGCAGACAGAGAGTCAGGATAGTTCAATGCGCAGAGTGCAGAGCATGAAAGCTAGGATCAACCGCAAGTGTCTCACCCGCAGCTCACTGAATCTATCCCGTGAGCATCAGGATATCCGAACGAGCTGGGAGGGAATATCGGAATCAGAGATCACGACGAACTGCAGGGGTCGCACTATCTTAGCATGTTGACGTTGCGATGTGCGCCAAGTCTCATTTCTCCTCTGGTTCTAGAGTCCTTTGATGTCAAATTCTGCCGCAAGCCTGGGTTGCAATGAGCCCTGTGCCAGCGCCTTCTGGTAGGCATGGAATCACTTTGGTTCTCTGGATGCTTCTTCATCTGCGCCAGCGCGCTATGCAATGCGAAGCTTGGCTGTTTTGCTGCCAGAGATAGCTTCTAACGTTGGATTCCGTGCATTTCTGTGCCGAAGCAGGTTTGAATGCGACAACCTGTTCGCTTGTGGCTCCCCGGATACCTCCCATAAGTTGTATTCGTGGAACCATGACAGGCGGCCGGGCAATAATGGGCGTAGGCTGCACCTACTTCCTCAACGCTGGCCTGCCAACCGAAGTTGCGTAGCAGTAAAGATGTCACGTTGGCCCACGCCCGCTCCGTCCAAGAATGGCTCCTGCCACATCGGGAGATGCTCCGAAAAGCGCCGTGGCGTTCGCTGCCAGAGCACCCCGCTGTACATTAGTTCTAAGTGCTCGTATCCAGCTTATCAACTATTGACACCAAGAATGCTAAGATTCCACGCCATAAGCAGTGCTTGCTTAAACAAAACGTTGGTACCGTTGTTCGGTGACGAGTGCGAGCGTGGAACTGCTTCAGTTTGTGCATGCTGTGTGCTGTCCCCAAGGGCCTTTCAAGTGCTTGGTTGCACGAGGAGATACCGCAAGAAGCAGTTTGAGATTGTATGGAAGAGTTCTTGACATGGGTCTTTGTGATGCTTGTATTCGGATGGGCATTGCTCGACTAGGCCCGACTAGGCGTGGTGTGTTGCGAGTGCTCGGAGATGAGGCTCACAAACAGCAGCGGCCAGCATTGTCATCACTCCTGCCCTGCGCAGGTGGGATCTTGTGCGGCGGAGCTAGGGATTGGGCTGTTTGACCAGTTTGAGAGGGATTTGGCCAGCAATGTCGGAAGAATCCCACCTTCAAGTTAGCTTGAGGCCTGGAGCCTCGCGACACTGCTGAGCGCACTTCGGACAATGACGTTTCAGGTGGCCTAAACCTGACCGGTACATATCCCTTCACTCTCCCTGCAAATGGCAGAGGCGGGCTGAACGATTCTTTACATTGGGGCTGCCAGGTAGGCTCGGATGACACACAGGGACTACAGCCTAGATCTGGTCAGTCGAGTTCACATAGTCGTTCCGCAGCCCCTGGTTGATTCTGCATCAATCAATGCTCGCCGCATGCTGCCTAACCTGTCAGACTTGAGCACAGCTCGCGACGCCAGAAACTCTTTAAATCCGTTCCGAACGTACGGCGTCACTCGGCGCTCAAGGAGAAACACACTCACCGTTTGCAGAACTGTTGTGTAGCTGGTGCATACCTTCAACATTTACACATAAGATTGCAAAATTGCGCCAAGAGAACTTCTTTTTGAACGATGCCAAGCTACTGAGCTTCCAGTGCCAAGGAAGGATAAGTTCTTGGCACGAACTCGTTGCTATGATGGGCGCTACAGCTTCAACCGGCAAACCCCGGTGGCTTGAAGGCATCCACCCGACCCTCAACATCTCGGAAGCTGTGGAGCTCGTCCTAGATCATGATTATCATGATTGGAGGCTTTCCAGACGTGTGCAGCAGCCATTGGTGCAGGCAGTTCTCATTACGAAACCGAGCGGCTGGCTGCCACGTCGTTGTTTCCCTTCTCACAGCCTCCCCGCCTCGACACACATGCTGTTGAGGCTGCAGTCTCGAGGTGTAGTTCCATGCAGGCAACCACTGCAAGTGGCGACCGCCACCGTCGGTGCTCATGCAAAGTTTGCTTTTGAAAGAGTTGTGGCTCGCTGAGGTGCTGGATAGCTGTGCTGATGTGTCCCATTTGGGACTGCCTTCCTTTTGAGCAGGACCATGGGCTCGCCTTCGGCCTGTCATTGGCTCAAGACGGCGAGTGCGGTTTTTCCCTCAAGCCTCACTAGGCTTTCAAGGAACAGAGCGTCACAAGAAAAGCATGTGTCATCGCGGTGGACGAGGCTTCACGGGTGCACAACCTCGACCTGGTGCCATGGCCGAGGCGAAGCGTCCGAAAGTGACGCTTATCGCCGCTTTGAGTAAACGGAGATAGCGCCGTAGCGGAGATGCTTCCCTCTTTGCGCAGCAGCCCACTGGCACCTGGACCAAGGCAAAGTCCGATTCCGGTCGCAGCGAGCCAAAAGCTGGTGCCTTGTCAGAGATCGCACCGGCCCGCACACTCAAGCAGCTTGAGTTGGGTTTGTTAAGACTTCGTGATGCACTGATATGCACTGATCCACAACACTGCTAGAACTGATGTGCGGCGCATGAGACCGCTCACGGTGGCTGTGAGCCAGCACTGGCAGCTAAGCGGCTGTCCTCGATCCAGCCTACGGTCCTGTCCAGCACGGCTTGGTAAGAGCATGGCTGCAGATGTTACGCCATGCTGCTAGTTAGCTGCCATTGCTGCGCTCACTTAGGAGATGGTCGTCTGCGACCGGCGCCCGCGCAACTTCGATCAATAGTGGCTGTTTACAGCAGGCGTTGTGATGCATCTAGATAGCCGCCGCACGCTCTTCGGGAAACCATGGCGGCCATACCGACAGCGTACAGCACACGCCGCGCAAGAGGCAGCCGCAGCACGGTCATTTTCCAATCTTGCCAGATCCGAATTTCATCCATCATCGGTGTGCATTGGTTCAAAGCACCCGCCAGCACGTGGCATTCTACATTGCAGTCATTGGGATTGAAGCCTGCAAATCATCGTATGGGGTACGCTCCCATGCCCCAGACTCAAACTCGTTTCGTGCAGAGCTTGCGAAAGGTCGCGGCAGGAGCCGAAAGCACCAACGACAGTGGCTGTTGATGTCGAGATAGAGAAGGCCTGGTCCTGAGCTTCGGGGATTTCGCAGTCGTTGCCTCACGAAAGGACAGAAGGCCCGGCCCAGGCTACTGGGGCAAGAGCGCCGAACATCTGCACAGCAGCACATTGATTTCAACAGTGGAGCGCAATACAGAAGGGATAAACACACCAGAAGGAGGGCTTCGAACAGTGTGCCTAAGGCGAGCAGGATCAGCCAAAGTGCTTGCTGCTCCCAGACACTGTCGTCGCATGCACCAGGGCGCCACCAACTTGTTTGTAGCTTTATCAGGTTGTGACGACTGTTGATCGACTACGCCCTGCGCCGGCCGTGGCTGGGCATGTTCCAGACGTTTGTCATATTTTGCTGGCAGACAGCGAGGCATTCTGAATGTGTGACAGGTGTTGGCAGAGACTTGTTACGAAGTCTTGCGGGTTTAGGGGCTAGAGCACGTCACGCCAAAGTCAGGATGATGTGGACGAAGTGGGTCAGATTGCGTGCTGGACTAGATGAGTTATTGGACAACACTTCCTCGTTTTGTTGAGGCACTGCTGCATGTTGTGACGGGCACTGAACACACCCGTCATCAGCAGCCTGCAGTGTGTATGCTAAGGTTACTAAGGTCGGCATAGATCGAGCACCAGGTAGACGGGGCCACACATGCGCCTACAACACATCAGTTGACGAGGAACCTCGACAACTGCCTGGTTCGCGGTGTTGCCATGGTGCCTTTTCGTGGCCATGGCCCACTAGTGACTAGTGACTGGTGACTAGTGGCCACGAGCTTTCGTCTGATGCAGCAGAAATTCAGGCCCGCTGTGCATGGGGCAGGCGCTGCCATAACCGCACTCTGATTGTCTGAAGGCCAAGACAAGGTAGAAAGACCAGATGGAGTTGCAACACGGGTCATTTCCCAACATGCACCAAGGTTAACGGGGTGACCAAGTCCGCAACTGCTGTCACCCGTACGGCCGCTTGAACTTGTTCTACTGGGCGATTAGATTTCTTTGGAGGGAAGGAAGTTGCTGGCGGCGTGCAATACTCAATGCAACGTAGCGCGGTGGTTGGAAATCACATGCGGGACATGTTAGGACCTTGCAAAGATCTCGCCGTTGCCGCAGGTCCCTACTCCACAGAAAACAAAGGTGGGTGTTAAGCGCACAGCAGCGGCAGCTGGGCTCGCTGAGAGGAAGGGTGCCAGCAACGCTTTGAAGGCACGCATGGCACTCAAAATGTAAGAACGGGGTCAAGTGCATGCTGTAGAAGCAACTCCGAGCACCTTGTGTGGCATGAGATGGCCCCACCAAGCTCCTTGCCGTGCCAGACTGTCCTGCCAGATGCGTGATGATGCGTGCCAGGTTGGCGTGCCGCCCCGCCTCGAACTTCCTAAA